GATTGCTTAATAAAACTTTTAAGAACATCGTTAGCATCAAAATAATGCTAACAATCTCCCCTCAAAGTTTTATGAAGCAAGCATCTTCAAGAAGTCTTCTGATCTTGTCTTCTCTACTTCCTTGACAGAAGCTTTGGTGTGTTTGGACGGAGGGAGATGACGGCACACCCACTTGCTCTTATTTTGACAGCAAGGGATGAAATCTTCAAACTCCCCTCTGATTGTAGCTCTGTGGTCTTCATTTTCAACTCTTGGCTCATTTCAGACTCAGAGTGACATTGCAGCACCACTGATTGCACATAGTGCAGCTTTAACCTGCTCACAATCCAACGCAGACTATGTAAAACAGAATAGCTACTCCACACAGAAGTAGCAAATTCATCCCTAAAGGGACAGATAACTGTGTGGATTACATGACAATACAGTTCAAACAGTCTTATGACAATGAATCTATCAAATAACCGCAAGTTGAGTAGGAATGCAGTTTTAGAGCTAAAATAGAGGCAAACACTGTTAGAAATGAGATCTGGAGAGAAGATTTTTACATTTAAGCATTTTATCTTCAAGAAACAGCAGGTCAATAAAATTGACAGATTAGCTGTTGATGCTTTTAAGGACGAATCATGAATAAAAACTGCCATAGACATGTAAGATTTGGTGTTTACAGAGACGAGAAATATTAAGCTTTTATAGATTCAAAAGTCACAATAAGAGAAGATGAAATAATACTCAAGATATTGCCTTAGGCTATGAGTATCAAGAACATTTGCTARACGCCTTTGCGTAGATCTGACTCTAAAGGGGYAKAAATAATCGACTGACTCCAAGAAACTCACAGATCTAAGAGATCCAAGATCAAAACAGGTTCGAATTCATCCTAAGAACAAATCCCTTAAAAAAGAATTTGATAAACGTTAAGCAAAAGATGAATCGACGAGTTTCTRGGTTCAAAGAACAGTCGAACAGCAAACTGTTCAAGAAGAGTGTATTTCGATTAAATCGAACTACTGCAGAAAGATCGTTTCGATTAAAAAATAAATCGATTTGGCTCTGATACCACTTGTTATAGCCCAGATCTGACAGTAGAACAATTTAATCACGAAGTTCAAGAGAAAAATGTAAATGAAGAAGATGAAATAGGAAAACAAACGCCGCT